AATTGAGGACCAGGGTGGTTTTTTGGTTTTGTTTTTGTTTGGGGGGAGGTCAGCTATGCATCCACAGGAATGTGACATTACCAAGACTGATAATAGAGCCTGATGAGGAAGGACATGGAAGCCCGCACAGCAGTGTCGGAACTGCGATGCAGGAGCAGGAGGCAGAGGGACGGAGCAGCTGCCCTGCCATAGGCGAGCCAGCGTCAGAGAAGAGCTTGAGTGTGTCAGTTTGCTGAGGGCGGAGAGAGTTCCTCAGGGCACCCAGGGACCAGAGGAGGGGAGATGAACTGTCTATAGATGGATGACTGTGTGCACCTCTAAAATTTCCATTACTAGGAGACATATCCAGTTAAAACTTCCATTGCTGAGGCTAGCAAGCGGCATGGTAGTTAAGGTGCCAGATTCACACATGGTTGACTGTGGTTTGAATCCTAGACCTGGCTTGCTTTCTTCCTTTCTCTTTCCATTTCTCGTCTTCCTTTTTTGTCCCTTTCTCGTCTTCTTTTTTGTCTCTCTCTCTCTCTGTCTCTCTCTGGTGAGTGCACTTTTCCTATAGCAAATTTAAAAATAACAATAATGATAATAAATAAAACTAAATAAATAGTTCATTTAGAAAAACTTCCATTGCTCTAAAAAAAAAAAACGAGGAGACTGGGTATTGGTGGACAACTGGTGATCTCTGCCACATTTTTGTAACTCAATATGCCGTTTAGATTTACAGCATGTTTCCCTGCTTTATTTGCCCACAATCACATCTTGTATTCTACTCCTACCTTCTGGCTCCCTTTTCTTTTTTGCTAAAGTACATCTTTAAACTACATCTTTTGCTCTTTCAGGGAAGAGTAAACCTAAGAATTTCTGTTTTGCTCCCGTTTGTAACTGATAGTTAGTTTGGCTGGGGATAGAATTCTCAGTCCACAGTGTTCTCCCCCAGAGTCTTTGGAGAGATTTCTCAGCTGTATCCTGGCATCTCCCCATGTTGATATATACCCACTGATTTTCTCATACTTCCCATAGGTGACAGATCCCAAAGAGGAAGAGAAGGGCTGAACTACTTACACCAGTTTCTTTTACCGAGTCCTTCCAGTGAGATATGTCACGAGGCAGGAGTAAGGGGTGGAGAGAAGCAGAAGTATTGTTGTACAGTTTCCCCCCACCCCCACTTTGGAGCCTCTTCTTCACGCTGCCCTCACTGTCACATGGTCCTACAGTTACCTCGCCTGTCCAAAACCCCTCCAGCCGTGGTCTTGGGGCCTTGTCCTTGGTGACTGAGGAAGTTCTGTGCCCATCTGCAGCACAGGCCAGTTCTAGCTGTCTTACGGGAACCTCAGAGGTTGGAGGCTTGGTTCTTCACCTCACGTCGATGCTTCTTGTGTCTGCGCCTGGCCAACACCTGGCTCCTGGGGGCCGCGTGTCACCTGCAGCCTCTGATAACACAGGTTTCTTCGCATTTCTGTTCCACCCCAGTTCCTCCGCTTTGTTGGAACAAGACAATGCATTTCTAAACATAGTTTCCACCTCTTTGTTGAAATTCCATCTGTTTATGCGTGGCGTATACCTTTCCCACTAGATCTATGAACGCACTTGCCATAGTTGTTTAAAAGTCTTTGATCATTTCTACGTCTGGGTCTTCTCTGAGCCTGGCTTGTTGATTGCTGTGTCTCTTGGTGATAGGTCAGTCTTTCTTTAGTCTGTGTGGGTCTCAGGTACTTTTTAAAGTTGAATGCTAGACAGCATTGTGGAAGAGCAGAGACTTGGCATAGACGGTGTTCATGCCTGGAAATGGGCAGACCTCCTCTTCCACTGGGCTTTCAGAGTGGGCTGCTGTTGCGTCAGTCTGGCCAGTAACGGAGCTGTGTTTGAGTCTTGTTGTTGAAATCCTTACTTCCAGTGTGCACGGGCATCCGGTCCTCAGGCTCCTCAGGCAAAAGTGTGCTAGTGGTGTGCTGGTGAGGGCCTGGGGCCAGAGGGCTTCTCAGTATTCCCATACCACCCTCTATTTGTGGATGTCCTTCCAAATCTGTGCCACACAGGGAGGGTGACTCTCCCCTATTCTCCCTGTCCCTCACTGATGGGGACGTCTTGGTGTTCCTGGCCCAGCCTCAGTCACAGGCCCCAGGGCGGTGCCTTCTCAGTGTTCCTGCAGGTCCACAAAGCCTTCCTGGCAGGTGGCCCTGCCTGCCTCTGTGTGGGTCTTAGGCAGGAGGGAGTTTCCCCCTATCCCGCCATGCTGGCCGGCCTCAGTGTGGATGGTGATCCTAGGCTGCCCTCCCACAGGGCTTTTGCTCCCACTCCGTCCCGAAGGCAGTGGATCTGTCCTGGTCCCTGAGGGAGAGGATTGGAGGATCTCCCTAACCTCTCCTAGAAGCAGGTTTATAAGTTTGCTGCTGCTCCCCAGGGACTGAGGCTTTTATGTCCTATGAGAGGAGGGTCTGGAGAAGTGGGTGGTGTTTTGTGCCCCCCACACATACACACATGCATACATGCTCAGCTTGTGTTTGCCAGCTGGACCCACCACGGGAGACCCGAGGAGAGGTGCTGGAGGGTGGCCTGTGGGTCTCCCAGTCCCTAGACTGATGTGCAGCCCACTCGTGGCCTTGAGAAGTTTGCTCCTTTAGGAGTTGGGTGATTTCTTTCGACCCTCCCAGTGGTCACCCCACTCCCTGCCCACTCTGCCAGGGTGAGCACTGGCCCGTCTGGCTCCTCTTGGAGCTCGGAGCTGTGTGAAATTCATCCCTCTTGGCTCCCGACAACCTCAGCCTTCCTGGGCTCGAGAGTAAGTTTGGTTTGTCTGCTACGTGGCTTTCCCTGGTTGAACGTAAGTGGAATTATCTTACCGCCTTCTCATCCCAAGCCGAGGTAGAACCAGGGTAGCGCATCCCTGGGCGTCAGAAGGTGGCGTGTGGAGACTGGGACACACCCGGCATGCGCGGGTCCTGCCCGGTGATGCAGACTTCTGTGTTTTCCCACCTGTCCACATGCCACGAGGATTTGCCTAGGCTTCATGCCAGGTTTACAGCCTCGGCTTTTCAGGATCTGACTTCCGTGGTGCCCACATCCAGCCTCTGGACAGTCCCTCCAGCTGCCGTCCTGCCCGTCATGACCTGGGGTGTCATTTGTCAGGACTGGAGCAAGAAATCCCGGGTTCATCTCCTGGAGACATTGATTCCGTTCGGCTCCTTAGTTAGAATTAGAACTCTCATGGTCCCGTCTTGACTTCATTTGCAGCTCAGGTCTGAATTAGGAAGGCAGCCGGTCCTGGCCACAGCCACCAGAAAAGGAGATCCTTCTGCAGACCTGAGGGATCCTTAAACACACCCCTTCCCACGCTGCAGGGTCCCACTGTGCCCGCAGGCTCCGTGCCCACCCTTCGGATTTATCCTGAACGAGTGGCCCCTCCTGCTTGTCTCCAAGGTCAGCTACAAGCCAGGACTCGAGGCCCCTGCCCGCTCCTTCCTGAAAGCCCGTCATGGCCAATGTGATCTGAGTGCTGTTTGTCACCTTCTGTCGCTCTTCACCCTCCAAGTCTCTTTCCACTGGGTCTGACTGGTCTTCTCCTGCGTGCCTTCTGGAAACTTCAGCCACCAAGCAGCCATTTATGGAGCACCTACTGTGTGCCAGCTCCTTGCAAGGTGTTTAATATTAACAGCTCGCACCTGCAGGGGCGGTTTGTGCATGATGCAGCAGGACTCAGCAGGGTCACCTGGCCAGAGGCTTTGGAGAACTTCCCTGGGGAGACAGAGGTGGCAGTTCCTCCTCCTATGCATGTGGGCACCACCCCAGCAATGACAAGGTCTGGCCTGCTCTGTGGCCACTCCTCAAGGTCCCTGCATTCTACACCACATAGCTTTTCATCGGATCAACAGGCATCTACGGTGTCAAAATGAGGTCAGACTTTACACACACAGCGCCAGAGTCACCTCCCTGTGGTCGCCAAGTGGGGTGGAGGGCACAGGGGCCCTCTCTGTAGCAGCCTTGTGACTCCCGTGGATCTCTGATGCTTTCAGAGTAAAGGTACAAGTAAATAAATGGATCACGAATGTTGTCCCGGACGCGACCTGCTGCCTTGTCGAGGCCTGGGAGGCTCTGCCACTCTTCCTGCCTTCAGTGCTTCGTTTCAGGAAGGTCAGATAGGGCCGGGCACGGGAGAACCTCAAAGCGGACCCAGAAGCAAAGCGCAGGTTCAAGGTCAAGGTGGGGGAGAGGAAGGGGTGGTTCTGGAGCCTCCCCACCCGCAGCTCCACTGAGCTCTGGGCTAAATGGGAACCAAACTGGAAGCGAGTCGCCATCCTCCTCGGCTCCCGGAAAGCCGTTCAGTCATCAGAAGAGGCTCACGAGGACGCAGTGAGTCACCCGGCGTGTCTGTGCTGCGTGCGGTTTTGACGCAGTCTGCGGCATCAGACAGCAAAATACAAAGTCATAAACTTCTCTCTGGTTTTCCAAACGCCTCCCTTTTCATCTCGTGAGGAGACGTTTTGGGCCCTTAGGGTGAAGTAAATTGTGAATGCAAACGCGGTGGCTGAGGGCCGCGCCTGGCGAGCTGTTTGCAGAACTCAGGTGTGCCTGTGAGGATGACGGATGGGTCTGGCCGGGCCTCCCTGGGACGGAGGTGGCTGGGCTTTGATTTGCATCTTCTCCTAAAATGTTCGCATCCACTGCAGCTCAGTCACTGTGACTAATCACAAGATTTAATGGCCTTAAACTGCTCACTAAGGGCCCAATTCAATTAAAAAATGTCCTGCGGAAGCCATGAATAACCCTCTCATCTTCGCTTTCCAGTCTTCCGGAGGCTTCCGTTGAGCGAAGGCCAAATGGGTTTTGTGGTTTTAATTTTTTGATTGGCTTGGGCCAGGCCCCGCCCACACCACCAGCACTTGCCTCTCGGCCTGGTGTCCCCCTCTTGGCCTCGTGCCCCCCCCCACACACCCGTCAGCAGCGCCAGCCAGAAGCTGTCCGATTTTGCGTGAGCACTTGAGAACTGACTTCTGCTTCTGGGTCAGTTTGACAGACTCTGGAGCGAGGTGCCGGTCAACGCCAAGGGCAAGCTGAAGTACCAGGACCTCCTGAGCAGGTTCAGCACCGAGGGGACAGCAAGCCCGCCAGCCACTGGTGACTCAGCAAGGGCCCAGCGAGGGAGCAGCGTGCCCGAGGCCTCAGAAGTAGCCAGGTCGGCCACCTCCTCGCCCACCCAGGATCCAGCAGCAAGGCCGAAGTTGCAGAGCCACCCCTGTGTGAGTCCCCATCCCCAGGTGTCTGTGTGCCACACACCAGACCGCACCGCTCTTAGTCAGGGTGTGGAGCGGGCGGCTTGGGGGACCCTGCTGCTTCCCAGGGGCTGGTGAGGGTGTGCCCTGGGCTGGGAGCGGCTAGGGGTGCTTAGCACTTGTTACTGGGGAGGGTCGGCGTAAGGAGGGGGAGCTGGGGAGGGAAGAACTGGGAGATACGAGGCTTTGGGGAAGGGAGAATTTGGCAGGGGCCACAGGGATAGCGTCGGTGGTGCTGGCACCTTTCTGGGCAGGAAAGCAGGGGCCCCTGTCAGCTGCTGCTTGCCAGCACCCCACCCGGCCTCAGGGCCCCGAAGGAAGAGCTGCTGTGCCCAGTGCACGATTGAAGGCAGTGACGCGCTAACAGGGGCCTCCGTCCAGCCCAGGCTATCCAAGTACACAGCTCCTGGCCAGGCCGCCAGGGAGGCGGCCTGGCTCACACAGGCTCCCTCCGGGTGCAAGCGTAAAGGCAGCGCCACAGGGAAGGGCTGAGGAGGAGCTGCCTGTGCAGAGCACCCGTCCCGCGCAGTGTCCCCGTGTGTGGTGAGTGCTCTGGGCCGACAGGTCTTCACTGCAGGTTGCTGCTGCGCACAGCCTGCAGTCACGGGAGTGGGGCCTGCCCTGCAGAGTTTACTTCTCGGGGTAGTGGGCAAAAACAGCAGACACAAGTACTCAGCGAGTGGGCCGTGGGAAGTAGAGCAGGGTGAGGGGTGGGAGCACCTGAGAGATGCCGGCCTCCTAGTCCCCAGAACCTGTGAGTATGCCGCCTGACTCTGAGGCAGGGTTAGGGTCGCAGGGGGCCTGCAGGGGCTAATCAGCTGACTGTGCCATCAGCTGTCTCCCGTCATGTCCAGAGGGCCCAGAGCGCCTTGATGAGCCATCCACGGAAGCCCAGAGGTGGAAGGCCAGCATAGGGAGGTGCGGTCTGAGAAAGGCTCTATCCGGCCCTGTGGGCTTGCGGAGCGAGGAAGAGGCTGTGCGCCAAGGGGCATGAGAAGCCTCTAGAAGCTGGAAAAGCCAGTGGATCGTGCCCTGGAGCCCACAGCCACTCTAGTTTTACCACCACGGGACCCCTGTCAGACTCCGACCTCCAGAACTGCCGGATATTAAAACCCTGTTGTTTCAGACCTCTAAACATGCAGTCGGCTGTCTCAGTGGCCACTGGAGCCTGGTCAGGGCTGGGGGTCGTTACACGGACCTCGGCCATTGCTCCCAGGGGCTGTGATGGGACGGGCTGCTGCAGAGGTGAGGCACGGGGCAGAAGCAGGGAGCCGCTGCAGCGGCTGGGGGGGGGGCTGAGGTCACAGGTCCTGGAGCAGTGGCACCCGGACCCCAGGGGCATCTTCAAGGCAGAGACGACGTGATAGGCTGGAAGAGTCAGGCCGGACTTCTGCGGTTTGGGCCTGAACACGGGGAGGAGGGAGTGCTGAGATGGGAGAAGGGTGGAGAATTAACTGAGCAGGATGAAATGCCCTGTCAGATCACCACTATCGGGGGGCAGGCAGGAGAGAGTCCGGGCACCAATTATTCGCTCCCTTGTCTTTAAACAGAAAACCCAGTAAGGCAAACGGCAGCCTGATACATGGTCCCCACCACAGAAATAACAGGTACTCTGTCTACAGGAGTGGAGTCTCATATAGTGGCAGGTAGATTCTCCTTGCCGAGACTCTGCAGAGATCCACACTGTCCCCCACGCACGCGCACACACCAGACGCACATAAATAGCGATGGCCTGTCATTTTGAAGCCTGGGCTATACATTCATTTCCAAACTGCTCTAAAGATGATGGCTCGGCACAGATACAGCCCACAGTGGGAATGAACAGTAAACGCGGCCTTGCCGTCTGTGCGTGCTTCCCGCTCTGCCGGTGCTGACGCGCTCCCAGACTTCGAGGGCTGAGTCGCACCGTAAGGAAACTGGTGTTCAAGAACTGCCTCTCTCCATCCCTGCCAGACCCCGGGGAGTGCGACCGGGCCGTGCGTCCTGCCCTTGCAGAACTGCGAGCCCATCGAGAGCAAGCTCAGGAAGAAGATTCAAGGCTGCTGGCGCGAGCTCCTGAAAGAATGCAAGCAGCTGGACGTGAACCGGCAGGGGGAGATCACCACGTCCGAGTTCCTGGGTTCGTGCGGTCCGCTCCCTCAGTGGCATGTGGGCGCCTCCTTGGCAAGGCCCTTCTGGCCGGGCAGATCTGGACCTGCTGGTGGGGGGAGGGAGCACAAGGACAGGAACCCAGGTGGGGACCGTGGGTGCAGGCGGGCGAGGACACCAGGCAGAAGTCTGGAGGGCTGAGTCCTGCTCCCTGCCCCCGCCCCCACCCCGGCCCCA